CTAGTTTCTTGCATATATATTTAACTTCTTGTACTTTTATATCTGCTGGGAGATCCCAGATTGTGATACAATCTATATTTATACATCTTTCGTGATCGTATCTTCTTGGTACTGCTTGATTTTTTTCCTGTTTCCCTTGCCTAGATCGAGAGTTTTCTGGTTCTTCTGAAATTAGATTTAGTCAATCTCCTTCCTTTTTCTTTATTCTATTTACTGCTAAATCTCTTCAATATTTATAATTAGACACTACCTCTACTCAGCAATTTCCTTTTCTAAAACGTTTTTCTACTTCTTTAATGTATTTGTTTTCTCCAAGTAATCTTCTGACATACTCAGCATGTTCTTCTGCTGAGTTACCTGAAAGACTGTATATTGGCACCTTTGCTATAAAGGATTGACTTTCTTTACAGATTCTGTTCTTTGGAAACCATATACTTTGTTCTATCGTGGCTATAAGGATTGGTATTTCATTTTCTGTTTCTTATCTATTAGCAATCATTGAGTTGTTACGTTCAAGCTCTACTTGTTATATCTTGATTACATCTTTAAAATGCTGTCAACTGGAGTTTCTTCGTCCTTTTTAATCTTTTTTCCTCTTGATGTTGAATTTTCTGCGTTTTGATCTCTTGATGTAGTCTTTATATCTTCAATATACTGATTATTTGTTGGGAGATGTATAAAATTATCTCCTAACATACTGTTTATTTCTTCAATTGTATAGCGATTAGGTGTTTCTTGTTGATTTGGTTTGATATTTAGGTCTTGAAGTTGTCCAGCCATATGGTCTATGTCTTTATTTGTTTCTTCTTCATCTTCTGATGATCTTCTTTTCTTTGGTTCTAAAAACTAAGGCTTTTCAACTGGACCTTTTTTTTCGAGTCCTTCCATCTTGCTTTTCTTCTTTTTTATTTCCTTTTCACTCATATTTACCATATAATTTATCGATGATGGGTTATTACTTGCTATTTTCACCTATACTGCCCAATGCTTAATGGTATCTTGTTGCAGAAGCTTTTCTGCTTTCTTGAGTGCATCACGTATTTGGCCATATAAAAGCATGTCAAATATTGTAATTCTTTCTGGATTATTAATTGCAAGGTCTTTTGCCAATTGCTCTATATCATCTGGTTCTGTAGGATTTGCTATACATAACAACTCATTATTGTTTAGATATTTAAGTACTTTATCTGCTGTCCCACATATAAATTCAAGAAGCCCACCAGTAACCGGTATTTCTTTATTAAGTTCTATTTGTTTCTAGAAGTTTCTTCTTTTTGATATATATTTGTTTAATTTTGTACATGCGTGTTCTTGATTTATGTTTGTTTACTTTACACATACACAGTTTTCTTGATTTGTTGTTTATTTAGAATATGTGTTTGTTGTTTACTGCTATAATAATATTGATTCCTAAAAGGGAATGCGTCTTGCTTGTTTTGTCATCATTTGTTGTTGACAGATAGTCACGTGTTTGATCTCCAATTTTCAGGGTCAACACCGATTTTCTAAAAAAAATTTTTCAAAGAAATTTTGTAAAAATCAATGTATAGGAATAAGAAGTTTATTACTAGAAAACTAAAATCTTGTTTATAATAAAATTTAAAGGGAAAACAAATTCTATAGCCTCCTAGATAACTTAATATCTTTGGTACCTTAAGAAGAACAGGGCAATTATGTTTGGGGTAGGCCCCTGTTGATCAGTATATACTGGTCAAGAATAACAAAAAAAACTTTGTTTGCTCTTTATTAGGGCTACTAATTATTAATTAGTAACCAGACCATTGTCAGCTACTTGTGGCTTTTGTTTTTTCAACAGTATTAAACTTAACACAATTAAATTTAATATTGCTTTAATGAAAACTATACTATGAAGTTTTCGAATTTTTTGTTTTGTTTACAAAATTAGAGATCAGCGAAAAGAGTTCTTGTTTATTTAATATTTATTATTATAGTATACAATAAGTATTAAATTAATTATTTATTTAACATTTATTATTATAGTATACAATAAGTATTAAAATTAATTATTTATTCAATACTTATTTTTAAAATATTTAATTAATATTATAATTAATTACTTATTTAATACTAATAGTTTAATTGATAATCTTCTAGTAAACTGAAGAATTATTAGGGCTGTGACATTTATTACATAATATTTTTTATTAAGGGGGTTACCCCCCTCCCCCCCACATCATATCATATCATATATAAAATATATATATGATATTATACCCAGCTACCCCCTCCCCCCCTAAAAATATTATGTAATATCTGTTAGCGTCCTTATAGAAAATGCAATTTAGTCTATATATAAATCTTTTAAAACAAATATATAGCATTTGTTCAAAGAAAACTTTTTTCTTACTAAGTAAATCATCTTTAGACTTTTAACAAAAGTTGTAAAGCTCATCAAGATGCATCTAATAATAATAAGAATATTAAAATTGGCTTGGTAGTTCTTTAGAAATCTTTAAAAAACATTTTGCTGACTATATAAAATTTTCTTTAAAAAAATTAATTTTTTTTAAAAAATTTTATATGTTGGCAAAATATTTTTTAAAGATTTCTTAAGAATCACAAGCTAATTTTAATATTCTTACTACTATTAGATATATCTTAATAAGCTTTACAACTTTTTTAAAAGCCCAAAGATGATTTACTTAGTAAGAAAAAAGTTTTTTTTAAACAAATGCTATATTTCTTTAAAAAATCTCTATATTTCTGTTTATATAATTTACTTATAGAACCACATTGCATTATACTATAAAAATTCTTCAGTTTACTAGGGATTTATCTATTAAGCATTTGTAAAATACTTAAAACTAATATTTATTTTATATTAAATTATAATAATAAAAAAATATTTATAATAATTATAAATAAATACTTATAGGATACTAAGTATTTAAAAAATATTATCCGCAAATATTTATTTAATAATAGCATTTAATTTATATAAGCTAAACATTTTTTAATTTTATGATGTTATCAATTCCAGATTTCATATCCAGAACAAAAAAATTATACTTCTTGTAGATAATGCACTATCCTATAGTTCACCAGAGGTGTCTAATAATAATAATGAAACACCTAGCATTAATAATGCAAATGAAATAAACTCTGATGATAATGTTAAAAATAATGGAGATAATAGACAACCAAATAAAAGAAGAAGATCAGTTGAAAGATTAGTTAGAAAGCTACAAAGAAGTATACAAGGTAGATCACAGTAAAGTATACAAAGAAGTATGCACTACTTCTCATCAACAAAAAATAAGAGAACCTTTAGAGACATTAAAACTTACAAATATTGCTCTTCATTACTTCTCACCCTATACAACAGCACATTTCCAGCCTATAGATGCTAATATAATCAAGTTATTTAAATTAAAAGATAAATATCTATATTGCAAACATGTTCTCAAACAATGCTAACATTGAAAAGTTTGTATAATTATTATCATAGCTAGAGATAGGAATCTAAACTCTAAACTAAAGTTTAGATTAGAGACAAAAACCCTAAACTATATTCTAAACTCTAATCTAAACTTGTAGTTTCAGGTTTTGGTTTCTATCTCTAGTTATAGCTAAAGTTGAGACCTGAGGTTTTTTTTCCTTAAAAATATAGGTCTACTAAAACCTCTTTAATTAACAAACCTAATTCTCAATTCTAAAAAAAACAAAACCAAAAAATATATTAATAAAATAAGATTAATTCTCAGCTTTAGCTGTAATAATTATTATATACTTTGTGAACTGCATCTTATAGTTTATCTTTAATTATATCTAAGTACTTAAGTATGATATTATCATACTTAAATACTTGGATATATAATAATAAATATAATAACTAATTTGCTATTTCCTTACAAAAAAAAGCTATCTATAAAAAAGGTAATCGATTTTATTGCAGAGTCATGAGTCAAGTAAGCAATATAACTATTTAGAACTGTTGACACAAGACCAGAATTTTTTGAATACAAATAAATCAGAAATGGATATTGTAGATCAGCATGTTGAAAATGATATTATGTTAAATAATGAAGAAATTGAAACCATAATTTTTAATTTATCAGATGAGAGTTCATATATAGCTGAGACTATCTGGGCTATATCAAGGTATATACAAGCCATTGATGAACCTATTGTCACAGAAAAAATACTTAATGATGAAGGAATAATTTCTATGATTCAAGCTAAGGAAAATAATATATCAACTAGACAAACAATTAAGGAAGATGACAAAGACAAGGCATCTGAACTACTAGTAATAGTTGCTAAAGTATATAGTGCACTGCAAACTATTGTTTGCTATGAAGAGCAAAAAAGTTCAGAAACAAATCTGTTATTAAAGAAATTAGAGTTTTTAAGAAAACTACTCAAAGAGTATAAATATATAAATAAAAAGTCAAAAAAGCAATCAAGAATTACTAGTTTTTTTACTTCCCAAGATTCGTACTCTAATAACTTGTATATCTAAGATTTGCATCCTTAAGATCCAT